TTTCAAAGAAGTTAAACAGGGAATCAAGATTTTTCTATTTCCTTCTGTAAACTTCTATTTAAAGAAACAAAACAAACCGAAAACAATCAAAAAGACAAAAAGGTACGAAGACAGCAAGTCTTCTGTACGTCACTGGAGCATGAGCTGCTTGAGGTTGTCGTGAAGGATGGTGTCCTTCACGTCGCGGAAGACGAGGCGGATGTTCTCCGTGTTGATGGCCGTGGTGAAATGGTGGTACAGGGGCTTCTGCTGCTGGTCCCGCCGCTTACTCCGGAAACACTCCACCAGGAATTTCTGGACGTCTCTTAAGCAGTGGGGGTCCCCTTCGAACTCTAGAAAGTAGTCTCTGATGCTCACAATTTGCACTTTCTCCTCAAGCAAATCTGTCTTGTTCAAGAAGAGAATTATGGAGACGTTGCTGAAAACCCGGTTATTGACGATGGTTTCAAAAATGTTCAGAGACTCTGTCAGGCGATTGGTCAGACGATCTTCCATAAGCACCTGGTCAAACTCACTTGAGGAAACAAGGAAAAGTATTGACGTCACGCTGTCGAAGCATTCAAACCAACGTTTTCTTTCTGATCTCTGACCACCTACATCAACCATTTTGAAAGGAACATTTTTAATTTCAAAGTCGTACTCGTGAATGCCTTTGGTGGGTCTTCTGGCTAGCAGGATGTCTTGCTGTGATGGAATGTAATCCTGGAAAAGAAAAAACATCGTTTCCTACTCAGTAATCCAGGAGGAATGAGAATTCTCAATGTACTACTAACTGGGCTAGTGGATGGATACGCAAACAAAATTATCTTTCGAATGACAATCCCCTGGTAACATTAAAGCATCATTAAAGCATCAATGCTATTCTGATTCTCATCATAAAACAGCAAGGTACGCTGCAATGTTAGTGTCCGCACTGGTTCGAAATTCGCTGCAAATGAAGGCGCCTAAGATTTTTTCAGCCTGCCAGACGACCCGAGTGTCCATCCACGCGTGACGCCCACCGTGCCAGCAGCCGCCTGCCGCTGCGTGGCCACGGCCACAGTCACGGCTCCTCGCCCCTCCGTCAACAGCGGTGGGGCCCCAAGTCAAGGTTCTCCGCCCCCCCGCGGCTCCTGCTCCACGCCCCCGCCTGCAGGACCTACAGCTCTAGCCGGGTCGCCTGTGTTCTCACTGCTGCGACGCGGCCTCTGCTCTGCCCCCTTGACCGAGCTCACTTTTGCGGGGCTTCCCACCTGTTGGCGGGGGGCCGTCTCCGTGGCAGGGCCCCAGCTTTCCTCCTCTGCCGGCACCCGTGCCCGGACACAGCGGTGCCTCGGAGGGAGGGTCTACACCAAGACCCTGGACAGACGGACGGACGGACGGACAGACGGAAGCTGCTGGCCTCCCGAGCCCCCGGCTGCGGCCGACAGAGAGTGCCCCTGGGCAGTGAAACTGGTTCTTTCCTCCCAGCTTAGTATTTTTCCAGAACTTTGATGGAGCTTTTTGACAATACTGAACAGGAAGGCTTTAAATGCTCATCACCAAGGTCACAATTTTTTAAAATCAAGGCAAGATTCTAAAACAATGCCAACTGTTACTTACAGTGCTGCATTTTATACCTTTCCAAATACTATGATTTTGAAATTTCATTACAGTGTGAATACTTATCTCCTTAAAATAGTGTAGCTAAGAATCAAAAAAAAAAAAAAAAAAAAAAAAAAAAAAAAAAAAAAAAAAACAAAAAAAAAAAACAGAAAAAAACCCAGCAGTTCTCAGTTGTCTGCAACCCATAGCGATGTATAAAGTGCCCACAGGGCTCTAATGAAACACGCTGGGGTTCGCACGTGTCCCCCCAGCTCCCGCAAATGCACACGCACCTGCCTCACCTGTCATCAGCACCGCCCTGATTCTCTGCCCGGCCCCAGCTTTTGGCTGAACATTTAATCATGAACTGTTTCACAGGCTGATACGGTTGTATTTCATTTTAAAAGAGCATAACATACATCAAATGGATTAACGTGCTACCATTTACATAAATATTCCCCTACTAGTGGTAATTTAAGTTGGTTCCAATTTTTTGCTTAATATAAATATGCTGCAATTAAAATTCTCATGCACATCCTTCTTTTCCCCCCTTTTGGGCTACTTCCTGAAACCGACTAACCAGGAATAAGATGGTGATGCAGTCAAGGCTTGTGAAGATTTTCACGACTGGGACACTTAATGTCCACCTGCTCTCTAGAAAGGTGGGGCCAGTTCACAGCACTCGTGCGTGCCAGCCGCCTCAGAAACAGGCCAGCCCAGAGGGGCAATTTTTAATTTTCTAATTTCGTAACAATAAAAAGTTCTTTATTATTGCCTTAGTTAGGAGCTCAGGGCTAATTCACATAAAGCGCAAACACAGGGCGAGGGAATCAAGTGCTCAAGGGTCTGGCAGAGTCACGGGGATTAGGACTGTGGATTCTAGAGCCAGCTGCCCACAGACCACCTGGGTGACCTGGGACAAGTCATCACTTAACCTCTCTGCGTCTCAGTTTTCTCACCTGTGAAAAACACAGACAACAGCACCCACAGGGGTGCTGTGAGGACTAAACACGGCAAGTGGGTGAAGCGCTTAGGAAACGGGTTCGGCACACAGCCCGTGGGTTACTGTCTAGCGGTTCCCACTGTCACCACTGCTGCCAAGAGAGGGAAACCAAGGCAGCGACGGCCCCCTACTCGTGCGCACCTGACAGCGCTCCACGGATGCAGCCTCTTCAGTCCCAACACTCGCCGTCTTCGTCCCCAGCCCCGTCCACCAGGACGCTCTCCCGCCCACGTCCTGCCCCGCCCGCACCCCAAGCCTCCCCCTCACGGTGGACCTTCTCCGTCACCTCCTACTTTATATCAAATCCCACTGCTCCCTCTTTGAACCTTCCTCACCTTTTCTTTCCCCTCTTTATTTTCACCGCCCCCGTTTTTTAACGTCTCAGCCTGGATTACCATCTTGCCCCTTGGTCCTCCGCACCTCCTGGGTCCACCTCTAAGCCCCCCGAGACCACCCCTCCTGCACCATGCCCTCAGAGCTGGTGGTGAGGCCCCTCCCTGCATCAGACCAGACCTCGCTGACCCGGCTTCCATGACTCTCCTTGTTCCTTGTTTTCCGGAACCGGCAGACTCTTCCCCACCTCGTCAGGCTCCCCAGAGCCCAGCGTGGAGAGCTGCACGAGCCTCACATCCTGAGACCGCTGCGTGTCCAGTCAGTGTGATGCGTGACTGTGCAACGAACGGCGCATCCAGACCCTGGTGACTACCTTCCTGAAATCTGTTCTTGTACGTTAGAGCCAAGCACTTCTGTCAGACAGATGTGCCTCCTGACCCCAGGCATGGCCCGCTGTGCACGTCCCCTCGTCCCCCCCAGCCGCCCAGGCTCACGTCCTCTCAAGGGCTAGCTCCAGCTTCTCCATCCATGAACTAATACCATCTTCACCATCAGTCTCAATGAATCGTCCTCTGTTTGTTTTATGTATGTTAGTTTTGTCTCTGACTAGAATGAGTTCCTTAAACATGGAGGTCAAAGAACCAAACAGCTAATGACGAGCAGTTATTGCAGCTGTAAGGCACCAATCTGAACACCTCACTGGGTGCCATGGATTGAACTGCGTCCCGGCACGGTCCCCGCACACCCCGCCTGCATTCATGTGCTGAAGCCCTAACCCTCAGTGTGACTGTCTTTGGGGACGGGGCTTTTAGGAGGCGACCAAGGTTAATGAAGTCATATGGGCGGTGTCCTAATCAGATAAGTGTTGGTGGCCTTAAAAGAAGAGGCCATACACTTCTTGCACATGTGTGTGTGCTGAGCAAAGGCCACGTCACGGCACAGCGAGAAGGCCACAGTCTACAAGCCAGGAAGAGTCCTCACGAGAAACCGACCACGCTAGCAACTTGACCTTGGACTTCTAGCTTCAAAAACTACAAGAAATAAAGGTCTGTTATTTAAGCCACCCAGTATGTGGTATTCGTTATGGCAGCCTGAGCAGACTTTTGAGACATGGGGTTTATTTCACGTAATCACCCCCGAACCCGACGGGGATGGTTCTCTTACTATGCCCATGACATGGATGAAGAAACTAACGTTTAGAGATGCCTAAGGTCACACAGCCAGTCTGCGATGGAACTGGGGTTGGAACTCTGGTGGTCTGGCTGCAGAGCCCTGTCCTTGACCCCTGTGGTTCCATCTCCCAGAGGGTCATGGGGCTTGGCACACAGCGGGGATTCAACGGTCCCAGAAGTTCAGTCAGAGATGGCGAGGCAAACGCAATCCCGTGACCCGTCTGATGTGTACAGAGTGGGCGGCCAGTCTGCAGCACACCCACATTTATTCTCCTCGCCTTTACAACTACCTACTGATCACAAAAACACTTTTTTGTTTTTATTCCAGATGTGGCCTCAAAACTGTTCTCAACGTAAGACTACGCAGCCGGTACAAACTGACTGGGGCTGGCTCCGAGTCACTCGTTCCGACGCTATTTGTTGAGTGCCTACGAGGCACCAGGCACGGTCACCGGGCAGCAAGAACTCAGCCCTTCACAACCAAGACCCGAGGTCCTTGCCCTTAGGGAAAGAGGCGGGGGAAAGACCAGCAAAACCTATGAATGAAGAGACCAACTGTAATAAGAACAATCAAGCCTGAGAACAGCCAGAGCTGATGCTGAAGACAAGAGGAGGGGACCCACCTCGAATGGTTGCTCAAGGAAGGCCTGTCCGAAAAGGCAGACTGAGAAGAACGGGGCAAATGCGCACTACTGGGATCAGAAAACATGAAATAACTCTTCAAGAATTAGTTTATCTACTAAAGCTTCTCTCCATTTGGCTTATGCTGAACTTTTTTTTTTAAGGCTTATTGCAATCTGACCACACGGAAAAGTGACAATGAAATAAGTCTTAATTCAAAGTCCCACTGATGTGGATTGAGTGAGAACAAAAACAGACAAATACAGAGACCCTAACTTCTAGAGCACCTGTGCCTACGAAACAGGTGGGTGGGAGAAACACACACCGACTGAACGGCAGACAAGTGCAATTCAGCAAAATACAAAAGAATAAGGGAAAGTGCAAACCTTAGCGTCTAGACACACATGCGCTACTTTACCTACTTGCAACAGGCTTCATTGTGTGCTTTTTCCTTCTGTTGTATTTTTCAAGTTGAACATCTCAAAGAACCCATAAAACCACGTTAAACTTTACAACAGAAATCTGGTTTAAGAGGAGGCATACGAAGCTGTACTCAATTGAATGGGTCACCACTGACGCTAGGGCAATGGCTTTCGAGCATTTTCTAAGCAGCACAGAGCTTCCTTCCGGTGAAGTCTCTGCACAAGTCCAACAGGGCCAGCGGCCAGCACCAGCCCTCAGCAGTCGGCCACGGCCTCAAGGGATGCACTGCAGGACAGTCTGATGGTCCAGCTCCTTTGCAAGGGCGACTCCTCCCACATCACGGCCTTGAGAATCCAGCCTCCTATGCTCCAACTCAACCCACGGGGGTCCTGAACTGGAAAATACCGTTTGCTGAAAAGTTCTGAAATCAATCAGCCCATCACGGTCTTTTGGTTTCCACTTACGGAAAAGCAAAAGACACTGACGCAGGCTAGTTAATGTGCCATCTCATTTTCAAGCATAAACTTCTTTCCATAAAGAGTTTTACTTTCACAAAATAGTGGCCAGGGCATTCCTCAAGGAAACGGCAGAGGTCAGGACAGGAGAGGGGGAGAACATGAAGCAGGAGCAACCGGCATACACTCTGCCACTAGGAAAAAGGATACGCAGCTTAATACATCGTTTTTCTAAGTTTCCTTATCCTAATTGCTGCTTTCAAATGGCAATAAACACAAACATTCAGTCTGAAAACTTACGGGTTCTCCAAGTTTATCCAAGTTATCCAGGAAATATTTTACAGATTCACCCTGAAAACAAGAAGAAAATAAATAGTTATTAGGGCTTAGAAATGGAAGACTTTGTTATAACAGTTTATATTAAACTGTCTGGTTGTACACTTAATCCAAATCCAAACATACTTTGTTTAGTCACCAATTTCAGACTGAGCAGCTAACCCCACTAAAGACGTATAAATGTCTGCCTCTGTCAAAGTGCTACAGCCTGGTGAGGCTCACGGAGTCTTTACAGAAGCGATACCCCAAGCACTCATCCATTCGGACAGGATCACATGTACGTGTTCTGATATATCTGTGTATCCAAAGGGAAGATGTAATTAAAAGGTGAAAACTGCTTTTGCGATACACATACAATTCAGGTGGGATTATTTCTGTCTACATTTTTCAATCAAGTTTATATCAAGAGCGAAGCAGGGATGAGGTGAGAACACCTAACAGGCAAGTGCCTAGACAGACACGCCTTTTTGCTCTGGAACCCTGAATAATGCTGCAGGCTTCACCTCTCCAACAGGTCTTCTCTACCTGAGTGATCAGTCTACTCTCTCTGAGACCAGACTCCTATCAGACCTCAGGCAATTTCCAACATCTAAAGTGCATGAGAATACATTCCTAAGAGGAAATACTCGAACAACGGACCGGCAGGCGAGAAGGTCCGTCTGCGGAGAGAAGGGCTGTGTCTTGGAGCCTCCCAGGGTCCTCCCTGTCCTGCTGGGTTTCTACCAGCGCAGCACTGGTCCTGCCCGAAACTGCTACCCCAAGCTCCAGAAGGCGGTGCTTCTTTCATGCAGAAGAGAATCCCCTGGAGATCTTGTCTCACTGCAGGTTCTGAGCGGCGGGCAGGGGCGGGGCACGTATTCTGCAATTCAGGTGATTTCTGGGACCACAGTTTGAGTCACGAGGCCTTAAAGCAGCAGCTCTCAAAATTTTAGTCTCTGGATCCCTTCATACATCTTAAAATTCTTCAGGATCCCGAAAAGATGTTGTTTAAGTGGGTTATAGCTACCAATACTTACCACATTAGAAAGTAAAACTGAGACATTGTAACAAATATGTTATTTATTAATTCATTTAAAAATATCAATAATAAACCCATTCACGTTAACATATTTTAGTGTAGCTTAATAAAAGCCAGTGAGACACTTCTGCTTCTGCATCTGGACTGCTACTACAGGTCGTTTCAGCTGTAGCATACGAAGATCTGGCCTCACAAAGAATGCTGATTGGAAAAGGGAGCATTTTAATAACCTTTGTGACTGTAGATATTTTTGTTTCTACACCAGAATTTGACAAATGGTAGTTTCTTAAAAGTGACGTCCCTGTGGAATGGAAAGCCTACCAATGAACTTTTTGCACTTTAGTTACAGACACTAGAATTCACTGGTCTGTCTTGTACTTTGAATGGGTCTTTCACCCACCCACAATTTTATTAACACCAAGCGCTGATCACATGGAACATGGTGGGCAATTAAGTATACAGATCTTCCAAATGTTGGCATGTTTCATGACATAATATTAAGAAAATCATATTCATTAATATCATAATGATCTCATAAGAAGCCTTAAGGCTTGGGAAGTTGACAACCTCACAGTGGTGGGCAGATACAAGTTTTCCTAAATTCTGATTTTCACTTGAAAGCTCAAATTTTATCAATGGCAACAAATACTGTTATTTTCCTTGAACTTGCAGGCTAACTTGATTCATTTTCTAAAAAAATGCCTGTCAAATGCCCAAGTCTGAGTAAGTTGGTTGTTTCTTTCAAGTAAAAATGGTGTTCCATGAAAAATACAGTTAGTCCAGCTCACGTCACAACCAGTCACAAAAGTGCTTTCCCCGGAGACCACGGTCCTGCTGCAGGAGCGTTTTCAGGGTGCCGCCCAAGCCATCATACAGTGTAGTACAGAGCTGCTGAAACTGAGATCTAAAACAATTTTTACTGCTTAATCAAGGATCTCTTCAGTGAAATTGGTGTGTGTGTCTTAAACTGCAGACGTAGAGCGGTGATGAATACACCAACTAGTAATGTGCTTGGGGCTGATACCCCATCTGCGCTCAGGCACTGGCTGGCAACTGCTGCCCTGCTGTCCTGTTCTATCGGTGCGAGTGTCAGCTTAATGAAGGGAAAGAACATCTTAAGTGACGCTCTCAAGAGTGCTGAACATGAAGACTCCTTTTAAAGGGTTTCTGGGATCCCCAGGGGTCCACGGACCGCACTTGGAGAACTGCTGCCTTAAAGCACATGGAGAGCGCGTACACAGGTGTGTGTGCTTGTGGTGGGCATGGTGGGGTGGGGAGGCCTGGCTGTGATTTCCTCGTGACTGCAAAGGAGCAGCGGCAGATGATTCTGCTTTTTTCTGGACCTGGAATATTCGTACAGTGTTTATAGCACCTAAAGATGATTTTTAAGAGAAGGGAAAAGAAAAAGCTTCCAAAAAATTCACTCTGGGGTAATGAAGAGATTATTTGGTCAAGCCTGTATGGGCACTTTGCACTATTTCATCCATTTTAATGAAAAACATAATATTTTTGTTTTTATGATGGATAACATATATAGGCCAAAGGGAATTTGGGCTTAATCTTTAAATAACATCAATATTTACTTACTGAGTTGTTTGTACAACCCAAATGAGGTTATATATTTAAAATACTTTAAAAAGTAAAATTCAAACGAATACTACCAATCCTGTTACACTGAAGTATACACGGTAGAGTCTCTTGGACAAATGTGATAAAAAGTATTCACTCTGTTTCTGTATGAGTAAGACTTACAGAACTGTTACCCTTTCAGTAATGTGCATATTGAATACTTACATAATGTTAAATACCTTAAATGAAATTTAAAACATTTCAAAAAGGTGCTTTTTGGTTTTTTGGGGGTTTTTTTGCGGTACGTGGGCCTCTCACTGTTGTGGCCTCTCCCGTTGCGGAGCACAGGCTCCGGACGCGCAGGCTCAGCGGCCATGGCTCACGGGCCCAGCCGCTCCGCGGCATGTGGGATCTTCCCGGACCAGGGCACGAACCCAGGTCCCCTGCATCGGCAGGCGGACTCTCAACCACTGCGCCACCAGGGAAGCCCCAAAAAGGTGTTTTTTGACTGGTGTTATATGTTGCATTAACTGACTTTTCTTGATTTTAGAATTAGTAAAATTCACTGCGGAAAACTTGAAAATTAGAAAAAGGAACAAAGAAGGAAACAGGCAATAATCATTAATTCCACCGCCAGAAGCAACTACAGTTAACGCTTGAAGAGACTGCCTTCCAATCACTTTTTGTACATTTAACACTGTTGAAATAATATAGACAAATCTGCATCCTTATTTTTCACTTACATAACTGTAAGTACATTTTAATGGTCAAAATAATTCCCAGTATTTATATGCTAAAAAGTTAACTAAAACCGCTAATCTAATGTTGGATATTTGAGTTATTTCCACCTTTTAAATAAGGTTTTAATATTTTAAAAATAAATAATGTTGTGTAAACAGCTTTATGTGCTCTTGAATTACATTCTTAGAAGTGATCTCAGAAGAATTACTAAGGCAAAGAGATCCAACATTTTTAATACGCCTACTACTCACTGACACAAAGGTCCTATTGATTCTCTCCTACACAACAGTTACAACACTGAGTATATGAATAGTGAAACTATGAGGACGAAAAATAAGCCAAGATCACAGGTGAGTGTTTTACCGATGCTTCTGTAATAAGCTAGAATGCGAACTCTCAAAGGCCCCACACTGTGCTGGCTGATGCTCATCACTTTAGGGGCCCCAGAGCAAAGGAGCTCTGTGTAAAAGAGAAAATAACACGTTCCATGTCCAAATTGACAATAAAGGTTCAACTACACAAAAATTTACTTCAATTAATATTGCTGTTTAACTAATGGTCAAATAAACGAAGGTTAAAGTAACCCTAAGATGAATATACTATCGAAAGCAGCAAGCCTCTTTCCCCCCTTTAAAAACTAAATGCTTACACCGAACCCATCATTTCTGAGGGTATCAGGAAATTGGTATACTCATTCTAGCGACCTTGCAAATTCACACAAACTTTTTAGAAAGTTATGAGTAGTACACTTCATAAAACTTTTAATGAATTTTGCACATTCTAAGGAATTTACTGAACATAAAACGACACAAACAAAATGATATTTTACTTGATGCTACCTATAATAGCAAGATTTGGAAGTTTATTTTTCCACTTATTACGGGAATGAGTTAATAAATTTTGGCACACTAACATAACAACATAGTATAAGTCATCAGGTAACAATTATTTCGATATAATCGCTACATATGAAATATGTATGCCATTAAGAGCTAAATTAAAGCAGGGGCTGACAAAGCTAAGCTCCGCAACCCCTTACCCTACCCACACGCTGCCTGTATGCTCACCCCTACACTTACTTGGCAGCAAAACCTGACCTGAAGTGGCTGAGGCTCTTTATATAAGTCTTTATTTCTCCTACTTAGTGAAACTGTTCAAATGTTTTGCTGCAAAAGAAGTGTGGAGGGACTTCCCTGCTGGTCCAGTGGTAAAGAATCCACCTTGCAATGAATGCAGGGGACGCGTGTTCGATCCCTAGTCGAGTAACTAAGATCCCACATGCCGCGGGGCAACTAAGCCCGCGTGCCAGAACTACTGAGCTCGCATGCCTCAACTAGAGCCCGTGTGCCTCAAACTACAGGGCCCACGCACCCTGGAACCCATGCACCACAGATACAGAGCCCAGGCGCCATGGAGCCTGTGCAGCACAGCTAGAGAGAAGCCCGCGCACCACAACGAAGAGCCTGCGCACCGCAATGACAGATCCCACGTGCCATAACTAAGAACCGACGCAGCCAAAAAATAATAATAAAAAATATTAATAATAAATAGAAAAAAAAAGAAGTGTGGAGATTACGTAATAAACAGTACATGCATTATATTATCTATCTGTAATCCAAAAAATTCTTAATGCCATTAATAAATGTGGACTCGGGGATTTACGATAAGAATAGTTCTGCATTACATA